AAGGAAGGAAAAAAAGGAAAGAAAAGAAGAAGAAGAAAAAAAAAGAGGAAGGAAAAAAAGGTAAAGGTGAAGGAAAGAAAGGAAAAAAAAAAGGGAAATAAAAGGTAGAAAAAAAAAGAAAAGAGAGAAGGAAAAAAGCAAGGGAAAAAGAGAAAAAAAAAGAAAGAAGAAAAAAGGGAAAACGGAAAGGAAAGAGGGGAAAAAAAAATGAAAGAAAAAAAAGGAGGATAAAAGGAAAAAAAAAAAAAACAGAAAAAAGGAAAAGAAAAAAATAAAAATAAGCCTGAAAAAAGAAAAAGAAAAAAGAAAAAACAAGGAAAAAAAGGAAGAAAAGAAGAAAGATAAAAATAAAGAAAAGGAAAAAAGAAATAGAATGTGGCCAAAGGAGGGGGGTGGGCGGGGAGGGGAAGGGAAAAAGGAAAGAAAATCGAAAGGGAAAACAAGAAGGAAGGAAGAAGGAAAAAGAAAAAGGAAAAAAGGATAAGGTAAAAAAAAAGAGAATAAAAGAAAAGGGAAAAAGAAGAAAACAAAAGAAAGGGAAAAGATGGAAAAAGAAAAAAGAGAAGAAGGGGGAAAAAAAGAAAAAGGAAAAGGAAAAAAAAGGAAAAGAAAAGAGAAAAAAAGGAGAAGAAAGAAAAAAAAAAAAACAAGGAAGGAAAAAAAAAAAGAAACGGAAAAAAAAAAAAGAGGGGAAAGGGAAAAAAAAAAAGGAAAAAAAAGGAGAAAAGGGGAAAAGGAAGAAAGGAAGAAAGAAAGGAAGAGAGGAGGAAAAAAAAAGAAGAAAGGAAAGGAAAAAAAAGAATAGAGGATGGGAAAAAAAGGGAAAAAAAAAAAAAAGAAAAAAAGACTAAAAGGTGTGCCATTAAAACAAGGAAGCAAAAAGGGGGTAGGGGAGGAGGAGAGAGAAGGCAAAGGGGAGGCAAGGAGGGGGGGAGGGGGAAAAAGGAGGGGAGGGAAAGGTGCAATTTGTCGGTTTCGGTTGTTTTGCTTTTTGATTTTTTTTTTTTCAGTATCTATGGTTTTCTTTCTTTACTTCCTCTATCTTTATCCCGCACCTCCCCCCTCCCTCTCTCCCTGACTCGTCCCTCCCTCTCCCTCCTCCCTCCTCCCCCCTCCCTCCTCTCTCTCTCTCTCTCTCTCTCTCTCTTCCTCCCTTCCCCTCTCTCCTCCCTCTCTCTCTTTCTCTCCTCCCTTCTCTCCTCTCCTCTTTCGCTCTCTCTCTTCCCTTCTCCGCCCTCGCTCGCCCTCCCTCCATCCAGGCCAACGAGTGCACAGAAATCCATAACAACTCCAGACCTGCCAGAGACTACACTCCACGCCCTCCGCCCTCCCGTAAAGGATCGAGAGTAAGCTCTCTAGCGCTGATTGTCTCTTCTGCGATTCTCTCTATATCTCTCTCCCTCCGCTCTCTAGCTCTCTCTATCTCTCTCTCTCCTCTCTCTCTCTCCCTCTCTCTCCCTCTCTCTCCCTCTCTCCCTCCCTCCTCCCTCCCTCCCTCCCTCCCTCCCTCCCTCCCTCCCTCCCTCCCTCCCTCCCTCCCTCCTCCCTCCCCTCCCTCTCCCTCCCTCTCATCTCGGTCCCTCCTCCCATACATAATAAAAACTCCCTTCGCTTCGCCTGTCTTTATATAAAATCCCCGGGAGACGGGTGCCAACTAGCGTATTATTCTCCCCTCTTACCCCCTCCTTCTCCCCTCCCCTCCCCCCCTCCTCAAGGAACTACGAGAGGGCGGAATGCCAAGTGACAGGACGCAGGAGGCGAGGGGAAAGGGGGAAGGGACGGGGTAAAGGGAGAAGAGACAGGGGGGGGGGAGAAGATAAGGGAAGAAGGAAGGGAAAAGGAGGAAGGGAAAAGGGGTGATGGAAGAGAAGGGGGTGTAATATAATGGAGGAAAGGGGTAAGGGACAAGGGGAAAGGGGAGAAAGGAGGAGACGTGGGCAAGGGAAAGGCAAAGGGAAAGTGACTAATATAAGAGACGTGGGCAAGGGAAAGGCAAAGGGAAAGGAACTAATATAAAAGACATGGGCAAGAGAAAGGCAAAGGGAAAGGGAGCTGATGGAGGAGACGGGAGGGTAAAGGATTAATCCAGAGGGAGAGGGGGTAGGGGGAAAGGGGGGAAGGGGGGGGGAGGGATAATCCGAATCCTCCGCCAACCCATTAGGGACGCGAGGAGGTCTATCATGCCAGGCCAGGAGCGAGAGACGTTTCTTTTATTCCATCTCTTTCTCTTTGTCTTTTTTTCCCATCTTTTTCCCCTTTTTTTTTTTTTTTTTTTTTTAGAAAATATTTTTTTCCTAAAGAGTGATTTTGCTTTCCTTCATTGTAAAAAAAATCGTTAGGAGTTGATATATCGGAATATACACCAAATTCACTTTTTGTTTTATTTTTTTTATTTTTTTTTCTTGACTTGTAAGTATAGTTACTCATATTTCAAAACGAAACCTATTCAAATATTTAATTAAGTTAGAATAAGGAAGAAGCATATTCAAATTGCTGCGAA